GGTCTGACCACCATTAAAGAGTTAACTGAAGAATTCGTAAAGCACTCGAGAGAATACCACAACCCAAGAGAGGATGTGACTAGAGGTAAGGGAAATACCAATGGAGGTTCCAGAGATTTAGCAGTGGTAATGACAAAGCTAGAGAATATGGACCGAAGAATGACGAAATTGGATTAATCTATACATTTCATACGATTTCAATGTAAAAATTGCAATGGGCCACACTTAACCAAAGATTGTCATTTGGATGAAAACGGGAATAGAAAAGCTCAAGTGTGTTATTCTATTGGAGATTGATTTGACGAACATTGGAGGAAGCCAAAGAAATAATGGTTGCCATATGAAGAATACAAGAAGCAAAAGGAACAAAATTATCAACAAACCGGACGAGGCTACTACCAAAATGAACAACCACCACCTGAGAAGAAGATGGACTTTGATTAAATGCTTAATAGGTTTATGGAAGCCTATGAAAAATGACACGATGCTACTAATATGACTTTTAGAAATCATCAAGATTCCAAAAAGAACATTGAGACTCAACTCGGGCAATTGACTACACTTGTTAATGAAATGTTACCACCCAAGAATCCCGATCCAAAATCACAACCACATCTCATGGCCATATTCACTGAAGAAAACCGTCATTCAGAGCCTATTATGATCCATAATGAAGCCTCGAAGCAGCCTGGTCCACAACCGAAAAGAATGAAGACAGAAGAAAAAGAAAAGGGTTGATGCCCAGTTCTCATGACGTGAGGAACAACCTCTTACGTCGTGGGCTCAGTCTGAATAGAAAAATTTGTCCGTATTCTGTTAAACCGTATCAGCCTCCGTTACCTTTTCCTTCTCGATCAAGGGCACATCCATTGGAGCAAGAGCATAAAAAATTTAATCAAGCATATCAAGGGTATTCCAATTAATACCCTATTTATTGAATTGTTAGCAAAAATGCATGAATATGAGAAATTCCTTCAAGATCTTCTTGACACTCGCCAACAATTAGAGAAGACTTCCAAGGTTGTTCTTAATGAACAATGCTCAACGGTTATCATGGAAGGCATACCAACAAAGATGGGAGATCCAGGATGCCTTACACTACCATGCGAATTTGGAAATTTCACGAAGACGTTTGCTTTAGCCGATTCTAGGGCTAGCATTAATTTAATGCCTTATTCATTTTACCAAAAGCTCGATCTTCTAGAACTGAAGAATATAAGGATGGCGATCCACATGGCAAATCTGTCGGTAACATATCCTCGAGGCATAGTTGAAGATTTACTGGTAAAAATTGAAAATTTTGTTTTTCCAATTGATTTTGTAGTTATAGACATGAAAGAGGATAAAGATGTACCCATTATCCTTGGACGTCCATTACTTAATACCATAAGAGCCTTGGTGGATATTTGTGAGTCAAAGCTTACTTTACAAGTGGGAAAATAAGAGATGACATTTGGGTTGAAGAAGGATTTGAGAGGTCTAAGAATCAAGCTGAAGTGTTTTTTATGGATGAAGAAAATAAGCTTGAAGAATTGGAAAAATTAATGGAAGAAGAGGTCCAAACTAGAGAAAAGCCAAAGAAGAAGTCAAGTTCACTAAGCCAAGAGCCTCGATCCCAATGATCTTTGAAGTCTTTTCCTTTACTACACCAAAAGTTTAAGATGAAGAGGCTTGTGAAATTGAAGAGATAGGTTCAAGTGATGAAGAGAATGATCAAGAAGGAAAGGAAGTAAAACTTGATGGAATGGAGATAGATAAGGAGTTAGATGAAAAAGTAAAGAAGTCGGATGAAGATAAATCCCAATGAGTTAAAAGAAAAATTGAAGCTTGTGACAACCAAACGAAAAAAGAAAATTGAAATAAAGCGTACATAAGGAGAGTTCAAGCGTACAAGAGGAGGTGGAAGGAGCAAAAGGAGAATAGGGAAATTCTGCTCCCAACCGACACAACGTAGAGCAGGAAGGAGTTCGGATCACGACTTCACAAAAAGAAGCGCTTCTCGGGAGGCAACCCGAACTCATTTTTCATTTTATTCTCCTTTTCTCTTCCTTTAGTTTTGCATTTATTTTAAATTGATGTTTAGGATAGTCATTCATTCATCTCATATTTAAAAAAAAAAAACAAGAGCGGGATCAGAATTGTGAGTGGTATAATTTCCAAAAGAAAAAAAATGGCATTTTATCAATTAATCAAGGCCCACGACATGGGATTAAGCACGCACAACATGGGGAATCAAGGAAGACCCGTTTTTGCATTCATTTAAAACTCACGGCATGAGGATAAGAGCGCACGACGTGACCTTCAAGGCGGGACTAGTTTTTATACGCATATCAAAACCATTTGACTTTCATTGTTTAAAATCACTCACAACGTCATACAATTGCCAAGGTCCCCACTTCGATTTCCATTCAAATTTCATCAAATTTTACTTATTTTCGTGTTCAAACTTCAACTAAGGTATGTGATAAGTTTTATAGGTTACAAAAAAATATGTGGCGGAAAAACCTAACTCTAAGTTTGCATGCAACATATTGGATCTAAGTTTTCTCTATTGATTGTAACAAACAATTGAACATCAAGAACCCTAAGAGTAATCTACTAATTTTGAAATTCACAAAGGGATTAGTTTTACATACCTTTTGATTATTGTTGTAAATAATCAATAAAATCCTTCTTGAACAAGCTCTAGAAAGCAAACACCAGAAATCTCGTGCCTCTGATGGCTCACACTCAAAACCCTAGAAACCCTAGAATGAAGAAGAGAGAGAAGGGGAGAGGAAGAAGAAGGAAATTTCGTTCCTAATACTCTTAGGAATGTCATGAACAAAAATTGATGACTTTGGAGTCTTATTTATAGTTTATGTAACTTACAAGCAAATTAAATAATAGATTTAATCCTAATTCAAATTCTTTCCTTTTATGCAACCAATAGACTTTCAGAAACCCTAGAGGAGCCTTCAAAAGCGTCCATGCCATGGAGGTTTCTAGAATTGTTTATTTTTGTTCAACTATTAAACAATTATAATTCACCCCTTGCATCTTTAATTAATTCTAATTAATCTCAAATTAAATTCATATTAATTCTAATTAATAATTAATTAATTCTAATTGACTTCTTATTAATTTATTAACCATATAAATTAATAAATCAATTATTTAACTAATTATCTCATGTTAATTTATTAACCACATAACAAATTAACATATCAATTATCTATTCATAATTAATATATTAATCACATAATATATTAACAAAATATCTCTCTCTCTCTCTCTCTCATAATATCACTTCTAGCTATTTTTGCTTACGAGGGCAACCCAAAAGGACTTTGTTTTTAATTCAACTTTATACTAATTTAGTTATGAGATTAGACACCTTAATCCAACAGTCTCCCACTTGGATAAGTCTATAATTACAATTGCAAGTATAACCAAACAACAAAGAGTACATTATCGAGCTAAGCTTGAGCATTGGAATACTCGACTAGTGAAGCTCGCAAGCTTAACAATTATTGTAATATTTACACATTTATCGTTTGTTTTATTCATATTTACATATTATAGAGTGGAGTCGAGTCGAACTTACTAGCTTAATCACATTTTCGTTGTAATTTAAAGTAATTTTATTTTCTTAATAGTTAATCGAGTTGATTCAAGCGCGAGTTCGAGTGTCGATTACTTTATCGAGCTCAAGCTAGAGCTCAAAATTAAGGCTTGAGTCTAGTTTCGAGCTTGGCAGTGCTCGACTCGACTCGGCTCGACTACACCCGTAATGGACGGCGTGAGATAGGTAGGTGTGAGTCTCATTAATTTTATTTAATAAAATTTTAAATTAGATAGAAAAAAGTATAAAAGATTATCAATAGGGCAAGTTACTCATTTATAGGGATGATTTTTTTAACTGAAAATTCGAACAAGAATCGGAAGCGGAACCGGTTGGAACTGATTATTGGTATTCGGTCTGGTTCTCCAATTTATCATTTTCGGTTTTCGGTTCTTTCGATTTTGTTCTGGTTTGGTCCGATTCCAATTCTGAACACATTCTTAGATAGCACATTTCCTAGTATAATCAAACCGGAGCCGATTAGTGGTATTCGATCCGGTTTTCGATTTCCTATTTACTCCTTACTCTTTAATCGGTTTCGCTTCTTTCGTTACGGTCCGGTTCCAAACCGGTTTACATCCATACTCATTTCAATTTGAAGACAAAAAAAAAAACAAATTACGGATAATAAAACCATAAAATTTATAATCAAAGAAATCAAACAAACTATACGACCAAATTTACAATTTTCTCAAAAATTATTACGGAAACGGAATACTTTGTTGGCAAAAAAAACTACATTAACCTTTTGAAACTTAAAAAGACAACATCTATTATTATATATTTGTGGAAGAAATGAATAGTAAAGTTGGCATACTTTGTCCAGCTTTGGCCCCTTGATTTACATATCCGGTCCTGTACTTCTTTAATTAATTTATTCATGTCCTTTTGTTTGTGTTCCATTCAACTTCCCATTTTTCTTGGCAGAATTGGTCCCTGTATTATTGTTGGAAGTTAGAAATACTAAATTTGGATGTTTTTTGACAACTTTGCTCATTATTCTTTACCCATTTTGACATTTTTGGTCATTGCAATCAATATTTTTACACTTTTTTGGAACCTTTTAATATTTAAAGTTTGGCCACAAAACTTTAACGGTTTGACAACTTTGATCCCTTTTCTAAAAAGTTGCTAATTCCTACCCTTTAATTCTTTAGCCATTTTCACATTTTTGGTCATTGCAGTCAAAACTTTTACATTTTTTGTCCGGGACAAAGCCCGGACTTTTCATCCTTGCACTTTCTATGTCTGTCATATTTATCAATTCGGAAACAATATTGAAAGCTTCTGGCCCCGCGTAGCGGGGTAACCTTTCTAGTTATGATTTATAATAAAATAATCTTTGAGACATATAAAATTATGTAAATGTATTTTTGATAGACACCCACTTGTTCATATTGGAGTCCATGCTCCTTCACATTCACACAAGCCCCCACCACACCATGTTGACCAGCCAGTGAAAAAGTAGATGGGTTTATGTGCATCCTCATCCATTTCTTTATTCCTTTCCACCTTTACTTTCAGCAACCCCCAAGTACCCACCCCTCCATCTCATTCTCATTCTCATTCTCCAACTGAAAGATTAGGTTTCTTATTCTACATGGATTCACCCTCCGAATCTAATGGCGACGAGCCTTCCCAATCCAAACAAACATCTCGATCAGAAACCAATGTTAATCGTCACAATCATCGAACATCTTCCGGTGTGGTATCTTCGAATTTCATAGGGAAGCATCGATTGGCTGCCATTATTTCTCAACAGAATCAACAAATCCAGATCATTCAGGTAATCAATTAGATTAGATGAAAATTTTACTAGCTTCTCCATTCGTTTGTTCGATTAATTAATTACACACACTGAGTAGTAGAAGAAAGTGATTTGATGCGATTAATCAGGAAGAGCTGGATCAATTGGAAACGCTTGGTGAAGCGTCGCTTGTCTGTGAACAGTATGTGAAATTAAAATTAATTTATTAATTTCATTGGTAATTGGCTTTCAGCAATAAATTTGAATGAGTGATTGTTTTGTTGTACATCCAGGCTGATATCGAGTGTCGAATCAAGTACAGATGCTCTGCTTCCTGTGTAAGCGTCTTTTTATCTTCTTGTTCAATCCCCAATATCTACTTTTTTGTCATTTCTTTTACTTTGTTTGTTCTTTGATTTTGATAGTTTTTTTTTAATTTAATTTTTTATATTTGCTGAAAAAACGCACAAATCCAAAACGTCAATGAGATATAAAGTACAATAACTAATTGATGTATTTAATTTCTCTTGTTTTAATTGAAAAAAGGGAAATAATTTTATTAATTTATGGCACGTAGTTTTTCTTCTTTAATATATCATATCATTATTATTTTAATCATCTATGTAAAATCTGACTTTTATGTAAAAAACTTATCTTTAGTAAGTTATAGATAAATTGGTAAAAAAAAACAAACTAAGTTTGTTACTTTGAGCAAGTAAACAGAATGTTGTATATATTAGTAAAATAAAATGGTAAAACATTTTTCTTTATGGGGTTAATGTCTATGGTTTGACCCTTAAAGAAAGTGTTAAGGTTGCAAATATAAAGAAAAAAGGCCACTAGATTTGTGAAACTTGTATTCTATATGATTCTGGCCTTTAAAATGAGCCAATTTGGTTAAACATTTGCATTTTAAAAGTTTTTTTCATCGACATAAATATGGTAATTAAATAGATGACATTTAATTTGAACCCAATCACTTTTTAGGTCACTTTGAACAGACTTTAACCATTTAAAGTAATCTATAAAATACCTTTTGGATATGAATGTTAATAAACTTGATAGTACAAAATATTATTTGTTGACAAACACAACACAAATTAAAAAAAAAATCCAAATTTCATTTTATTCTATATATATATATATATATATATATATATATATATATATATATACACTGAATATGAGTGTTGATGAAACTATACAAACAGGACGAGAGGGCCGGCAGATGGTGGATGGGATAGATGGTTTCAAAGAGCAAATCATTCTTCTCGAAATCGCAAACGTTGGATCTGATATGAATACGATACTATCATCGTATATCACTTTTTGCCCTTTTCGTTTTCCACTTTTTTTTCTAATTTTGTAAATCTTTCTTCCAAAGTTTGAATAGCTCAATTCAAAACAATCATATTGTTTTGGATTTGGTGACAATTCAAATGACGGAAACAGATATTGTTTGGACGTTATCTTTTTTTTTTTTTTTTTTTTTTTGCATGTAAGAGTGGTTTGTTTTTCTTAAGCATTCAAGTTATTCAATAAGTGAAAAGAAAAATAGATTAGTATTTAATAATGCTCAAATTCAAAACCTAGATGAATGAATGAATGTAAATGGCTATTTAAGGGGATGTTTGGATGTGCGTTTATATACGATATAATAACCAATATTACAAGTTGTAGAAGATAATGTTTAGATAAGTTTCTCCGCTTTGAAGTTTTGATAATGGGATCATACCTTGTTTTGATTTATGATAAACCTTACTTATTTATAGAATAAATAAAACATGCAAAAATGACATTCTTATATTGTTGAATCATTTAAATTTAAAAATAGCAAAATTAATTTTCTATCAATTATGATAATATATGTAAAAATAATTTGAGCCCCTGTTATTTAAATACACATGTCAAAAAAAATAATAAAAACGTTGCTATTTGATTAATGGTTTTAATTTTTAATGTGAAAGTAAGCTGTCAGATTAGGGTGATGTTATGTGATGTGTACTTACAAAGCAATGATGAAAATATGAAGATACTGGTGCTTGAGGAAAAATATGAAGAAGTTGGTGAAGGGATTTACAAAGCAACAAGGAAAAATATGAAGAAAGTGGTGCTTGAGGAAAAATATGAAGGAGTTGGTGAAGGGATTTAGGTAAACAAACAAAGATAAAATCCTTAAGTTTGCATGCAACCTAAATAGGATCTATGTTTTCCCTATTAAACCTATAACTAAGAACATAAAAAAGAATTCTAGAAACCCTTAAGTTTGCATGCAACCTAAATAGGATCTATATTTTCTCTATTGAACCTATAACTAAGAACATCAAAAAGAACTGTAGAAACCCTAGGATATTTTCGAAAAATAGATGAGAGGGTTTTAGGATTACATACCTTTTAGTTGTTATAGCAAACAACTAAAAATTCCATTTTAAAAAATCTCTTGGAAGCTAGCACCACAAATGCCATGCCTCTAATGGAATCACACCCAAGCTAGCAAGATGATAACTTAAGAGAGAGGAGATGATAGAAGCAATTTTCATCGAAGGCTTGTAGAGGGAAGGAGTGGATGAATCAAGGGGTTAGGGGTTCCTTATATAGTTGAAGATACTTGGGGTCAAAGCTAGGGTTTAAGGGATAAACCCTAGATTCCCTTGTTTGGTGACCAAGCAGCACAATCCCCTTATTCAATGGGCCTTTGACGAAATTATCTAGGCCTTATCCTATATGATTTTCGTCCACCTCATTCCATGAGGTTCTAGAGCATTCCTTCCTCAACTATCAATAAATAACCAAACAGTCAATGTACTTTTAATTAATCCAATTAATCCCAAAATTAATTCCAATTAATTTCTGATTAACAATTAATTAAATAATATGATTTCTAATTAATATATTATTTTCATAACACATTAATAAACCATTTATTTAATTTCTTATTCACATAATAAATTACTCTCTCTCTCTCTCTCTCTCTCTCTCTAAAAGTCATCATGTCCAATTGTTAGGTTTGAGGGCAACCCAAAAGGACTGTGGTACTATCAATTCAAGTATATACCAATTTTAATGAAACATCCCAAAAATATAGACCAAAAATTTCGTTTTAAATCAGTAATAAAATCCATGAATAATATTAATCACATAAAAATCATAGTCATGTATCTCAAAAACATCATCATATCTGTCAATGTATCAAAATCATATATCATAAGTCAGAGTGAATCCTCCCAGGCTAAAAACAGTGGTATGTGCCATGCAGTCATCTCGAGCTCTTCCCCTTACTAGCGGAAGTACCTGAAACCAAAACTGAAAACTGTAAGCACGAAACTTAGTGAGAATTCCCAACTACCACATACCATACATATAACACATAAACATATCTTGGGCCCCGCCCCCTGCTACATTGAGTTAGGCTCGGCATCGGCTTTCCAGACATTGGGCACCGCCCGACATCGTGTAGATCTCAAAATACATGTGAGCATAATCAAATAATACAAATACCCCTAAACATATATCATTAACACTTAAACATTCCTCAGGCCCCGCCCGACATCGGACCGTAATCCGGTAACATAATAACATTCCTCGGGACCGCCCCAACATCGGACCGAAGTCCGGAAGCATACAATACAAACACATGCAAGAATCACAAAGACATCAAGCATACAAGCATTCCTCGGGACCGCCCTGGCATCGGATCGAAATCCAGAAAAGCATATAAACCTACATCGGACCATAGTCCGGAACTACTACTAGCTAAACGGGCCGGCCTTGGTGCCTTAGACTCGTTCCTACTGGAGGAAACTCACCTCAAATGCTAGTTGTGAAATCTCGTGTGGGAATCTCTGATGGCTGCTCCAACGACTCCCCGGCTATCAATTTCACAATACACTTAATCAAAACCTGATAACTCTTCCTAGGGTAAAATGACCATTTTGCCCCTGGTCAAAGTCAACGTCCTGGTCAAGGTCAAAGCCAAGGTCAACTCCCAGTGAACCCAACTCGTCGCGTTATCTCCCAACTCGGCGAGTTCCTGTACTACTCAGACTCATGGTCAACCGAGTCAACCCGTCGAGTCCCTTCACAGACTCATCGAGTTCTACCTGGCATACAATCGGGACATCCCAGCTTCAACTCGTCGAGTCCCTTATTGGACTCACCGAGTTCCCCTGTCTGTTTGGGTTATCTTAATGGATTAAGCCCCTACACTTCAAATCCAAGCTTCATACCTCACATAAACCATGAAAATGTCCTTTTAAGGGTAAAGTTTCTGACTTTACCCCTTAATACCACTTCGTAAAGGGTTTAGCTCAAACCCTAATTCCTTGGGACCTATAACTTGGTCCTTAAGCCCTCCATACACCAAACTAAAGCTTACAACTTCAGATCTAAACCCCTAACACTACTTGGGCACGTAAAGTTCCCACCTTTTCCCCACATGCATGACCTTTTGGGCTAAAAAGGCCAATATGATACTCTATGGCTTGCATGGGGGCTCCAATGGCATAAAGTCTGCACCTTTATGTCATAACAGCCCCTCTAGGTCCTAGCTCTGGAATATTATCCACTTGGGTCGTCCATTCTCCAAAGATTATCATTCTTGGGCCAAAACCTTCATAAAAGGGAAAGGAAGAGATCTAATGAACTAGAGGTCAAGATAGAAACTTGATTACAAGAAAATGTAGCCAAAGAAGTGTAGTTTCTGGATCTACTCTCTTCCTTTTGAGCCTTCTAACTCCTTCTTCTTCTTCAAGCTTCAAGAACACAAAAGATTGCTTACAAATGGCTCACACACTCACAAAATGCTCTAGGGTTTCGTGGATTAGGGTTTGGGACAAGGAGGCTGTAAATGAGGCTAAGGGGTGGGGGTTGAGGAGCTTAAATAGGGTGCAAAACCCCGAAATTAGGGTTTTATTCTGGCCGATGTACTCGCCGAGTCTAGGGCTCTTGACTCGCCGAGTAGATAGCTCAAACCCCGCGCGTAATCTGCCTTCTACTCGACGAGTTAGGGCCACCAACTCGTCGAGTCCCTATCTTAAAATGAATAAATAAATAAGTTAAAAGCATACCAAGAACCAGGCGTTACATTTAGTTATGGGCTTAGACACCTAGCCAACAGTCTCCCACTTGGATAAGTCTATAACTATAATTGCTAGTATAAATTCTGAATCGATCAACAAATAGTAGCTTCCAAAAGCCGTTGTCGAACTCTGACTTAGTCAGTTACATGTACTAAGATAAGTAATCATATAATCCTCCGTTCTGCAAAATATCATTCGAACATGAGACATGGAATAGAATCAATCTCATTGTTCAAGACTTTGTTTCCCGATTTTTGATTTGTAAAGATATAGAACTTCTAACTGAACACATCAATTTAGTCCTGGACGGGCTCGACACTATAAGTCAACACCAAATCACCGACGGGCTCAAAGATATCGATTTTCCTGTTAGGGCAAAAGGAACAAATAAAATTTGACCTATACGCTTGCACCATTTACTTATCAAATCATGAATGACAATGTGTTTTATAACATCAAGTTACTAATGCGTTTACGTATTATCAATGCACAACCGACTTGTAAACTACAGCTCATATATCTCCTTTTTAAGATTATAAGATATTATTGTCTCAAAATTACTCGTGATAAATTCCATGAAGTAATTCTCTGAGCGTAGGTTTATCTCATACTTAAATCTCCATTTCAAAGTATTCATGAATATTATAGCAATACCACTGCTATGTCTAAAACTCTTCAGACAATCTACAATTCAATTCATGACAGTCTTAATTCACTACTTACTTCCAAAATTACGAACGACTATGGAGTTTGAATAATCAAATTATTCGGGAAGTAAAACATGCAAAGTGAAACACAATAATAAACTAATTAATTATGGTCTCAAACCTATTGAAAATAAATAAATCTCTATTATTTAATCACCATAGTAATTACGACTTTATTCATTGTATAATGTTTCGAGTAATCAACTAACCACTTGAATTAAATAACATCAGTTATGTCATGTTATGGACATTCATACTATGCCTCTCTGTGGTCCTTTCTTTGTGAACAAATCGATTGGACACTATTCCAATTATGCTCATTTCACAATTCCAAATTCTTGTCATTGTCTAAAATGTATTGGAATTCCAACCTTACATGCATTGACCTTTTGTGATGTCAAGGCTTCAAAGTCACAAAGATTGAGCCAATGATATTACAAAATGTAACATCGCAAAATGAGGTATAGCTTCTCTGGCCTTAATCTTTTATGTGTATGTCAAGACTAGTCCTAATTGTGAAAAAGGTGGCATTGAGTACGCGAGGCGTACACATGTGTACGCGCAGCGTACTCATGCACTTAGCAAGATCGCGGAGGCCACCTAGTACGTTGGGCGTACTAGGCTCATAATGAAACTCTAATATCTTCTTGTGTCCCTATTTAAAGAACACGACGGCAACATTTCTA